GCAAGTCTCAATAATGGTGTGATTGAAATGAGTATATACATTCAAATATATGAAGTAGGTGCCAAAGTAGGCCATTTGGCCCCTAAAGCTTGTTCTGCCATTCAATACCATTGTGGTTGATCTGTTTGTATTTTGAATCCCATATTCACATCTGCCTTTGAAAACCTTAGATTCCCTTGTTTAACAATAATCTATATAACTCTGCCTTAAAAATAGTCAATGACTGCACTGCCACTGCTTTATGAGGCGGACAGTTCCAAATTCACATAACTATATGAGAGTAAAAAACTCTACCCATATCTGCCCGAAGAGGACAGCCCCCAACTGTAAAACAGGACCCCCTATTTCTGGACTGATGCACAATAGGAAACTTCCTTTCCAAATCCACTTTATCAAGATTTTCAAAGACCTTAAGCACTTCAAACAAGTTACCCCTCACTCTTCCAAACTTCAGCAAAAACAAACCCAGCCTGTTCAACCTGCCCTTACTCGTCAATCACTCATTTTGTGTATCAATCTTTCTCTGAACTGCCTCCAGTGCATTTACTTAAATAAGGAGATCAAATCTGCACATGGTATTTGAGATGTGGTTGTGTTATCTTTGAACTGAGTTTCTGTATATCTGTCTGCTTTGATTTATTTCAAAGCAACACAGAGATTATTCTAGTTCGCAAAATCCAAACAGTTTGTCTAGATGATTTAAAACACCTCAGAACTGCAGTCATAGCAAGAAGTAACATCTCTCTCGGGTTTTTCTAAGATTCAGAAGTCAGTCACTGAACTCACTAGCTCCACCCATAGGGTAAAACTATCAAGCGTGGTCAGACAGGTATACTCAAGCACTACATCATTTTTCTTTTAAATAATGATCCAATTAGAATCATTGAATGATACAGTACAGGAGAGACCTTTCAGCCCATCTAGTCCATACCACAAAAATACAGGAATTCTACACAAGTCCCACTTTCCAGCACTAGGTCCATAGCCTTGAATGCTACTGTACTTTGAATGCTCATCTAAGTACTTAGTAAGAGGTTGTAAATTGTCAATTAAATAATTAAAAATCAAGCATAAATACATCATGTCATTTCTTAGTGTTTCCTCTATGTATAAAATTACTTTGACCTAAGTTTCTGATGATTATATTCCAAATATGTTGTGATTCTCTGTGATCAGCTTGATGAGGTAGACGATCAATATCACTGAAACTAAAGGGAACCATAACCTCATAATCACTATCCTCAGAATATCCCGGCCTATTTGCTGTCATGTAGTTTGTATTTCATTTGGTGTTGTCACCTAATAGAGAAATATTGGGATTCTGCAACCTCTTGATCTGCTTTGGAAATGGTACAAATTTATAGTTACAGTTTGACCATTTAAAGTCATGCTGTCATAGAGCTATATGGAAGCACACCCTTCGGTCCAACTCATCCATGCTGACCAAGTTTCCCAAACTAAACTCGTCTCATTTGCCTCCATTTGGCACATAACTCTCTAAACCTTTCCTATTCATGTATCTGCCCAAATGTCTTTATGGTCTGAGTCAAGTGCTCTTCAGAGGGGCAGTGCAGACTCAATGGGCCAAATGGCCTGCTTCCACACTGTAGGGATTCTACGAGATACCTTTTAAGTCTTTCTCGTCTCACTTTAAAATTAAGCCGTCTCGTGTTGAACCCCAAGATGACCCCTCAATCTCCTAAACTCAAGTGAATAAAGCCCTAGCTGAGGTTTAGATAGAGTTACTGGTAGTTGTCTTTTCCCTAGGATGGGGAATTTCAAGACTAGGGGGCACATTTTTAAGGTGAGAGGAGAGAGATTTAACAAAGACATAAGCAGTAAATTTTTTACACAGAGGGTGGTTTGCATGTGGAATGAACTTCCCGAGGAAGTGGTAGATGCGGGTACAATTACAATGTTTAAAAGACATTTGGATACGCACATGAATAGGAAAGGTTTGGAGGGTTATGGGCCAGGAGTAGGCAGGTGGGACTAGTTTAGTTTGGAATTATGTTCGGCATTGACTGGGTGTACCGAAGGGTCTGTTCCTGTGCTGTATAACTCTTTGGCTCTATCCAGCCTATCCCCATAAGACAAATCGTGCAGACCTGGTAACATCCTTGTACATCTTTTCAGCATCCTCTCCAACTGAATAATATCCTTCTTACAGCAGGGTGACAGGAATTATACACCGTAATCCAAAGAAGTGGCCTCACCAATGTCCTGTATGACCATAACATGACGTCCCAACTCCTATATTCAATGGTCTGAGCAATGAAGACAAGCGTGCCAAATACCTTCTTTACCACCCTTATTTGATTCAAAACCAATCTCCAACCTCACGTCGTGGTTTCCTGTGCCTGTCTGTTCATAAGAATTATTTTTGCTTTACTTTGTTGCTTTGCAATTTCACGGCCTTCGCTCTGACATCCTCACTAATGGGTGTTAATGGTTAAAGAATAGGCCTGTAGCATGTGAAAGTTATGATCTATCATACGTTCTGTTGTTGTCTTCACATTTCCATCGAGACTCTCTTCTGACTAAAGCTTGTTACATTCTGTGTTATTTTCTATTTGTTCATGAAATGTGGGCATCTCTGATTAAGCCAGTAATTATTTCCTATCCCAAATTGCCCAGAGAACAGTTAACTGTCACATGCAGGCCAATAGGTAAGGCTGGAAGATTTTCTTCCTGAAAAAACACTAGTGAATCAGATAGGATTTACAACAGTCAGGACACTGTCACTATTAGGCTAGATTTAATCCAGATTTTTAAATTCAAATTTCACCATCTACCCTAATGGGATTTGAACCATGATCCCTGGCACATTGACCACTGCAGCAACACCTCCCCATCCTAACATGCATGTTTAATCTGCCATTCCTGCTGAAAGTTTTGTCACAGTTGGGACATTGTAGAGTGTTTGTCAAAAGTGGTGATGTAATGTTTCATTGCTGGGGTACTTCAAGCCACAATATGGACAAATCTTCTCCCATTCAGTAGGGTTATTTGTAACAGAGGGAGTCCTACAGGTTTCATCACACAGATCACAGATCACATACCTAATTCTCAGGAAATAAACTTTTACATTTGTCAAACTGATTAAGTCTTCTTTGACCTTCACAAAATGATTCCACTTGGAGCGTGAGTTTTCCCTTTGTTGTGATTTGCTGAACATTTCCACAGTTTAGACCGTGTTTTCAGGGTCTCTGACTACAGTGGATCATGTATTGCAGAGATTGCAGAGCTCTCCTGGTCTATAACTCTTGCTCATAAGCTGATGGTCAACTGTGTCTGGTCCATTCTTCCCTAACCTCATGGAATCTAGCATGCCAGATGCAATCAGAGCTGCCAACATGATAACTTTTTCTAAGGTTAAATCATTGTGCGTCATGAGGAAACATTCCTTAGTTCATGAGATGGAAGTATTTTCAATTAATTGAATATCAATTACTTAATTGGGTAGTGCATCAAATTTTCATGTTGAAGCTAAGTTCTATGATATTGTCGAATGGACTCACAATTTCAGTGGTATCTCTGATAGAATGTATATTCTTCAATTATCATACAATTATTTGGGCTGAAGTGTTTTCCAAGATCACTTACTGCATCTGAAATGTTGGTGTCTATTCCATGAACTGCTTGAACACTCTTTGGCCTTCCACTTCAATCCAATGTACAATTATCAGTTTCTTGTGCACTATTCTGAGTATCCATCCCCAAGAGAAAGCGAGCAGATCTACGTCAATCACTCCTAGGACATGAGAGGATCTCCCCGGTGAAGAAAGTAAAGGTGCTGGGGCCTATAGATTTAAATGGTACTCCAATCTCCTTGTTAGCTAATGTCATGTTTAGATTGAGTTCTTGTATATCTTATTTATTTGATTTATTTCAGAATGTCGTGATTGGATAGAGGTCCAGGTGGATCTCATTGACTATGAGATCCTTGAATTGGGTTTGTTAACTTAGGCCAATCAGGGAGCCCTGGCTGACAGATATAAACATTAGGTTCAGACAGTCTCCTCATTTCAGGGACTGACTCCGAGCTGGTTGGTCACAGCCAGTGTACTGTGCACATGTAAATATAGGGTAACTTGGTGATGGGATACTGGCGTCTGTGCAGTTATTTCACAGAGTAATGCTAGTTCTAAGTTAAGACAAAATTTACGAAACTTTAAATATCTTAGACCTTTACAGAACTTTTAATACATATGTAATCAAAGTTCTCCATTTAGAATATTCCTCTCTAAGAATAAGGAGCCAATCATTTGACTCACTAGTCCATACACAGGCTAAAGCAATCAATTACTGTACAAGAGATAGTAGGAACTGCCGATGCTGGAGAATCTGAGATAACAAGGTGTAGAGCTGGATGAACACAGCAGGCCAAGCAGCATCAGAGGAGCGGGAAAGCTGACGTTTCGGGTCGAGACCCTTCTTCAGAAAAATTTTTCTGAAGAAGAGACTAGACTCAAAACGTCAGCTTTCCCGCTCCTCTGATGCTGCTTGGCCTGCTGTGTTCATCCAGCTCTACACCTTGTTATCTCAGTTACTGTACAAGGATGTGTGATTAGACAAGCTTAATCAAACAGTATAACGAGTTTAAAAATAGAAATTGCTGTAAAATCTCAGCAGGTCTGGCAGCATCTGTGGAGAGAAATCAGAGTTAACGTTTCAGGTTGAGTGACCCTTTCTCCGATTTCTCTCCACAGATGCTGCCAGACCTGCTAAGCTTTTCCAAGCAATCTACTTTTGCCTCTGATTTACAGCATCTGCAGTTGTTTTGGTTTTTATTTAGAGTAAGGATTTTACTGTAAGTGGAATCTCAGAGGAAAACCTTCATTCCATTGTGCATTTTGGAGAAGGACCTTTGGTTAGGGATGATATCCTTAGCTACAAAAGACAAGGTCCAGGGAATTTCTTGCTTTTTCTTATATTAATTTTACTTGTGTTTCACAATCAGTTGATGTTAGTCTGATTTAGAGATTTCCTTTCCACAGGAGATCAGGGAGAGTTCAACATTGCCGCATCCATTCACGGCAAGAAGCTGGCACCACCAAGTTCTACCTGACTGATAATCTGGTCTTTGACAGCCTCTACGCCTTGATCAGCCATTACCGGGAGGTTCCATTGCGTTGTAATGAATTTGAGATGAGATTGACTGACCCTGTACCACAACCAAACGCTCATGAAAGCAAAGAGTGAGTGTTATCTAATTGCATCCACCTCAGCTTTTTAAACTAAGAAGCCTAAGTGCTGGGTAAATAAAGATTGTTGATGCTTTTCTTCGTCTGCTCTACATGGTTAGCACTGCAGCCTCACAGCGCCAGGGACTCGGGTTCGATTCCAGCCTCGGGTGACTGTCTGTGTGGAGTTTGCACATTCTCCCCGTGTCTGCGTGTGTTTCCTCCGGGTGCTCCGGTTTCCTCCCACAGTCCAAAGATGTGCAGGCTAGGTGGATTGGCCACGATAAATTGCCCGTAGTGTTCAGGGGTGTGTGGGTTATAGGGGGATGGGTCTGGGTAGGATGCTCCAAGGGTCGGTGTGGACTTGTTGGGCCGAAGGGCCTGTTTCCACACTCTAGGGATTCTCTGATTCTATGTTGAATAGAATGCTTTGAATGCTTCAAAGTACTCCTTTGGGAAAATGTGTCGCTTCTTTTGTATATTTGTTGATTTGCGAATCAGTTTAAAATCCACAGCACGCAACAAAAGCAGGAGAAAATGTGGATTAAATCAAGAAATGCTTTGGTGACAGCAAGTTTGGGAAAATGATTACAAGGCTTTATTTTCCTTCAGGTGGTACCACGCCAACCTAACACGACTACAGGCTGAGCACATGCTAATGAGAGTACCACGGGATGGAGCCTTCTTAGTGCGCAAACGAAATGAATTCAACTCATACGCCATATCCTTTCGGTGAGTGATCACAAATATTATGACTGAATTAATCTACACAAATTTCACAAATGGTCCTTTTACTTTAGCTTTACATGGGTCATGAACTTAAATAATGAGCAGACCAACTGATCTTGCGGAAGAAAACTATGAACATGAACAAGAGAAAGAGTTGATTGGTGACAGATCTTACGCTGGCATTACTTATTTGCATTTTATCTTCAAGATCTAAGTTCATATCCAGTCCTGACCAATGGCTTAGAGTTAGGCAAAAATCGCATCTATTGATTGAAAAGATTTCATTAAGCTTTCTCATTTCAATAACCAGAACTGTCCCCAATTCAGGTCAAGTTTGACAATCTCCCTCAAAGCAGCATTCCATAGTTGATGTGGAGAATCTAAAAATATTATGTCAATAGGAGGCATTTCTCTGGGTTTGAGTTGGACACATGCAGTTGGAAGCTGAAGAGAGGGAGTTTTGTTGTCCATCTAACCTGAGCTATCCCTGCTCTCGGACTGCCCCACTCTCTCCAGTATTGCAGTCCTGGTGCTGACAGCTCTCAGTGTGATCAACAAAAAAAGAAGGGAAACATGAAGATTTACTCAAGAACAAATCAATAAATTAATTCAGAGAGCTGTAAGCCCCTTGGGAAATTGGTTCCTTAGCCACTAATCACTGTGAAAATAGATTTATAGTCTTGTGTACAAAACTTGATTTCCAGGGCGGAGGGGAAAATTAAACACTGCCGGATCCAACAGGAAGGCCGCCTCTTCATGCTTGGAAGCTCAGCAGAATTTGAGAGCCTAGTGGACCTGGTGAATTATTATGAAAAGCACCCTTTGTATCGTAAAATGAAACTGCGGTACCCAATCAACGAGGAAACCTTGGAGAAGATGGGTACAACAGTAAGTGAGAGAGTTTTGGATTATTTTCTTTTGCACAAGGGACAGATGGGTCACAGGAACGACAAGCAGAGTTCCGGCAAGTGATTTGCTGGCCTTGCTCAGATCTGCTTCAGAGATCTGCTGTGCAAAACTATGGTCCTCCCATTATAATTGCATTGAATTTTAATTGAAAAGATGGGCGCATTTTGGCATGGAATGGTTAGGATCGGAGGCTGAAAGTGTCAGAAATCTGTTTTCTCCAACCCACCCACCTCCTGCTTTACCTGAACCTGGAAATTGAGTGGGCAGTCAACCTTATGCCAGAAAAACAGCTTTCGCTTTAAATGCACTAATGATGCTGAGGACCTATTGTCATTCTGCTTGTGAAACTTAACCAATCTTAGGCAGATTTTCTTAGTGCTAGGGATCTTTTCAGAGACTCCAATATTCTTATATTTACTGTCTAAATCCAGGTGTCTACCTGGAGAGCTTCCATAACCAGGTCATTTCCCCCAGTGACCTTTATCATAAGGCCTCTGGCCTGCACTCCACCAAGTCCCGATCCTAAACCCCACATATCCTTTCCTCCACTCCGCACCAACCATAATCCCCTCAGCAGTAACAAACTCACTCCAGAGACATCAGAGTGTACTCCTGTACTGTAGGCTGACTCCCCAGCTCAGTCCCCAGGAAATCCTTGATTGTCAATACTAGTGCTACTCAAGTGCCACTAGCTTTCAGCTAAGATATTATGCTAAGACCCATTGTGCCCTTTCAAGTAGATGTTGGCAATCCCTTGGCGCTATTTTATTAAAACAGTGAATGCTCTCCTCATTTCCTGGCCTGAATTTATCCATTGCCTATATCACAAAAATAGGTTATCTGGCTATAATCACTGGTTGTTTATGGGAACTTACTATGTTGCCGCATTTTCTATACTACAATATGATGACACTTCTGAAGTATTTCATTCACTGTGAAGTGTTATGGTACATCAAGTATCAGTAAAAGATCTTATGCAAGATCTTTATTTCTTTATCTTTAAAGCTTGTCAAACAAATGTTTATCTCGTGAAAGTTGTCCTCTCTTTGGAAGGAGGAATTGGTGAACAACTAGCAGCATCCCACCAATCACATGCCTGACCATAACCAAATTTGGTCACAGATTTAAGAGTAATCAGTCTAGTTGCCATTTTAAAAAAAATAAGATTTAGAAAAGATCAAAATGTTTGAAAAAATTAAGATTATTTTTAAAAATGAATAATGGCCCCCAACTCAATATTTAGCTGCTGTTCTTCCTGTTGTAGAGATTCATTCATCAGATTGTGTTCTTCACTGATTACTGATTACTTTGCCTTCAGGAACTGGATTATGGAGCACTTTATGAAGTACGGACTCCTCATTTTTATGTTGAAGCTAATAAGATGCCAACTGCAAGGGTAAGTTAGATTTGAAACAGCATCTTGGCCTCTTTGGCTGGTTGGTGCAACAGCTGTAATGCTGTCCTTTCATCTCTTGGGTGTGTAGTAGTTCAGGCTGCTGAGGTGAAAATTTCCTTTCTCTGTTGGTTTTGAGGAGCAAAGTAATTATGCCACTATCTTAATGCAATTCCTAGTGGGCAAGGGAAAAATTGGGCACCAATTTGGCAGTTTCACTTAACCGTACAGAATATGCAAATATTGTGGTTGGTAGGGTTATTCAGAGGCTAATCCAATAGAAGAGAAGATAAAACTCAATCTAATCCTATTGGGGAAGCTGTGGAGCACTGAGAATGCCCCAAGGTTAACATGCTAGGGGATACCAGTGCAAATTCCAACATGGCAAATGGTAAACAAGTACTGGGGGGCAAAAAAAAGCTGCCCTAATGGTGACCATGACTACCGTCAAATTTTATAAAACCCATCTGGCTCACTGATGCCCTAACCTGATCTGACTTATATGTAACTGCAGATCCAGACCAATGTGGGTGACTCTTAACTGCTCACTGGGCAATTAGTAATAGGCAATAGATGCTGGCTCAGTCAGCACTGCCCACACCCCATGAGCACCTACTAAAAGAAACTCCAGGCTGGCTTGGATTGCTTGCATTCCAACTGCGTGCAAGTTGTGGAATCTGCTTTCTGAGCAGTAGATATCCTCACTGGGGACCTACCACTGACCAAAGTGTTGGTGGTAGCACGAATCATCTAGCCACCCCCTGCACAGGAGTCCGAAACCTGAACATTTTCTTCAAAATTCAAACAAAAATTCGGAGAATATTGTCCATTCCTGAATGACAGTGAAGTAATAACACATTTAGCAAAACTCTGCTCTTTTCTAGTGCACTGTCAAAGCACTGTATGATTACAAAGCACAGAGAGAGGATGAGCTATCCTTCTGTAAACAGGCTCTGATCCACAATGTCGACAAGCAAGATGGTGGATGGTGAGTTCACTTTAGGAACAGATCACTGTTCAAGAATGAAATTTATATCACATAGATTTTGATATTAACTGGGATGCTGAATCTGGAGAACAAGAAATTAAGTGTCGAAACCAAGGGAAAGAACTTGAAATGTTGCAAAATAAGCATGACAGATGGGAACGTGAGTCTTTGTGTCTAAAGATTTAAAATGGAGAATATAGGAAGGTGAACTGGTCAAACTATCAGAAGTCAGCAAATGGGAATAGAATAAAGAATGTGGTAGAGCAATGCCTCCACATTGTTCTCCTGTATCCTGTATCAGTGTCTTATTGCTACAGTACTGCTATATGGTGATGGTGAGGAGTAAATGAAAAGCCAAGAGCAGAATATAACAACTCAAAACAGAAGGTGCCAGAAAAAGTGGGAATGTTATCATTGATAGCTTATTTCCTGTTTTCTACTAGTTTTTCTTTCCTCATCCTGAATATCTCTTTCCCCAACCCCGTCCCCCATCAGGTGGCGAGGAGACTACGGAGGTAAAAAACAGCTGTGGTTTCCAGCAAACTATGTGGAGGAGATAACCAACACACTAGTCCCTGAACAGGATGAAGCGGTAAGCAATAGTTTGGTATCTGTTAGTTCTCAGCTGGAGTATTATACCCAGATCTTGGAAGAAGGCTTGGAGAAGTCAAGGCCATTCAGAGGGTGCCAAAGGAGATCTATTAGAATGGCATCAACGGTGAGAATCTTAAGTTATCTGGAGATTCCAGAGAAGCTAAGATTGCTTACCTTAAAACGAACAAGGGCAAGAAGAAATTTGAGAGACATGTCCAAAACTTGATGGTGTAGATTGAGTAAAACTGTTAATGCTGAAATGAGGATCATCAAGTAAAAGCTGCCGATTTAAGTTGGCAAAAGAACAGGGAGGAGAGGAGGCCTTTTTTTCGTTCAGTGTGTTAGTATGTTTTGGGATGCTCTGCCTGAAAGGATGGTGAAAACATTCAGTATGAACTTTTGAAAGGGAATTGGATACGAACTTGAAAATAAAGATTTACAGGATTACGGAGGAAGTAGATTGAATTGGATAGTTTTTCCAAGAGCTGGCATGGGTACAATTGGCTGAACGGCCTCCTGAGCTTTAAGACTCTATTATTCCAGGAGTGACACTGCTATTTTACCTGAGGAATAGCTGGAACAGAAGGGGAAGAAATATTCCAGGATAAGAGAGAGCTTGTTGTCAAACAAAATTATTTAAATTTTCATCTTTTGATTGGACCTTGTTGTTTTGCCACTTGCTTTATCTTCCTAGTGCTTCTGCACTTGCTAGTATCATTCTGTCAATTTAAATGGATCTAATGTAGAGACTTTGGAAAGAGTTCACGTGGCCTTCCATAGGTTGCACACACACTCTCAATAACTCTGCAGTGGAGTGGGCGTAAGGCACTAGCCAATCACTTCACCATAACCCAAAATCTTAGCCTCAGCCTTGCTGCAGTGGGAGGAAGGGAAGTCCATTCCTTTCCAAACAACAAAGTGGGTGTATCTACACCAGATGGACTGTAGCCGTTCAAGAAGACAGCTCATGGCCACTTTCTCAAAAGAAAATGGGGATGGGCAACAAACAAAACCAGAAATTGCTAGAAAACCTCAGCAGGTTTGGCAGCATCTGTGGAGAGAAATCAGAGTTAACATTTCTGGTCCAGTAACTGAGTTTTAAAGAGGGGTCACTGGACTCAAAACATTAACTCTGATTTCTCTACACAGGTGCTGTCAGACCTGCTGAAGTTTTCCAGAATTTATGTTTTTGTTTCTGATTTCCAGAATCCACAGTTCTTCCAGTTTTTTTTACAGGCAAAAAACATTGATTTTGCTAGCGCAAGAAAATCCACCCAAATGTTACAGACTTGCATTGCTGAGACTGTGCGAGCTGGTCACTCGCTGACTCTCTTGGCTGTTTCTTTTTGCATGTTGTTATCTCACACCCAATGTTCAACATCTTTTTGGAGACAGGAAATAAATGGCCCTTCTCTTTTTAATCAAGTCTCAGAAATTTGCACAAGTGACAGTGTGACACTTACGCATGATGGATACTGAGGATCACCTTTACAAAAATATGTACATGAAGGTGTATGAAATTACATAGATACAGTTGTGATTTTTTAACTTACATGATCTCTCCTGTATCTGCAGTCTGTGGAAAACAGTCCATTGGGAAGTTTCCTCAAAGGATTTATTGATGTTCCAACATGTCATGTCGGTGAGCAATCTTACAAAATCTCATACTCCTTTATATTATTTTTGTTTCCTGTTAAATTTTGTATCAAAATGAGCCTCAGAAAATGACCCATGACCCACTTTGAGTGCACTGTTTATTGAGTTCATAGGTGTCCATGACAAAGCTATAGCAGTGCAAAAAGAAGCAGAATACAAATATATTTATAAATACACTAGCAAACAAAGGTCTTTTTACAGGCTAAGTGACCTCCTTTGATGCCATAAATATTCACATAAAATTAAAGTTATTACTAAGCACTCACAGGTTAGTTACAGCACAGGAGTCCATAGTAGAGTTCCCTGGTTACTTCCCCAATAATATGTCTAAGCACCAATTTGGAATATCACAGCTCCAGTTCAAAATTTTTCATTTAATGTCAGACATGGCTTAGTGATTACACACTTGCCTTTGAATCAGAAGGTTCTGATTCAGATCTGATTCCAAAGGCTTAAATATCTAACTTAGACTGGTACTTCTGTGCAGCACTGAGGGAGTGCTGCATTTTCAAAGATTTCATCTTTCAGATGTAAATCACTGTCCTCCCAGATGGGTTTAAAAAACCGTAATGCAATGTTCAAAACAAACCTGTTCAGGACCTGTCTTTCAGATAGTTTAAGAAAGAGATAGAGAGTATAGTCAGGAATATCTAGATTACGGGGTCAAGTTTGTTGGAAACACAGCCATATGTGGTGAGCCAAAGAGATGATGGGTGTACAAGGTGCTAGAGTCAGAGGAAGAGCAGGCTTAAGGTTGGTTTTAAATAAAAAGATGAAAAGTTTAAACTTGTATATTGTATGCCAAGGTGGTCAGTGAAAACAGTTTGACTGATGACTGTGTCTTTATACATGGAATAAGAAACGGGAAGCTACTAATTAGTGTCTGTTATGAGACAGAAAACTCACAGACTAAAATGGATCAATAGGCAGAATGCACACGGTAATGGAATATTTGATTGCTATCAGTTCTAAAACCAAGTCCCAAAGCTCTTGCATGTTTCAGTGCTAAATTCTAAGACTTAAAGCATGATTCTCTGATGAAAACTCTTGTGTCAAAAAGACATTTCACAGAATTCCTTCGACCCTCTATCTCACTAAGGCTAGAGAGAACTGAAAAGACTCATGCAGCTGTCACAGTTAGATCTCTGTTGTTTGATATCCAAAGCAGCATTAAGAAAAATATATAGATATCATTTACAACGAATCAAACATGTCTTATCAATAAAGTCTACCTTCAAGATTACGCAGGAAGGGCTTGGGCAATTTAACTACAAGCAGGTCAAATCAGAATGACCAGACTGGTAAACGAAACTACTCTTGAAACAAACACAACGCTAATGGCTCTTTAGTTAGCTGCTAGTTGGTAACCTAATATTAAATATTTATATTACTTAGGCAGACCAAGCATCTATTGTTAATATACCTATGTAACAATTAAACTGCATTGTTTTGACAGAAAACTGCCTTTAAGAAAATCAACATTTTATTCGACATTCAACATTCGTTCTTTGGATACAAGCATTTACTTCCCATCCCTAAAGCCCTTGATATAATTCTGAACATTCTTGCTAAACCACTGTAGTCTGTGGGTGAACGTATTCCTACAATACATTTAGATTAAGGAGTGCCAAAATCTTGATTCAGTGAACAATGAAGCGCCAACAGATTGCGTTCAGGTTGGGATAGTGCATGACCTGAGGGGTTCTCGGAGGAGGTGGGTTCCCATGCTATTGCCTTTGTCTTCCAGCTGGTGGACTTCCCAAGTATAAGAGAAGGTTTGCCAGTGAATCACATCGATATTTTCCATCGAGGACCTATTTACTAAACAGGCTTGCACTTTAACCCTTTCTTTGCTTGTGGAAACACAATTGTTCTAAAAAAAAAGTGCAAGACACAAAAATTCCAAATATTGATATTCATAGCAAACTGTATTCTCTATACGAACTGCATTATAGGGATTTCTATATTCTAAAAATGTTGAACCCCCGATTACAGATGCCTTGCTGATTCACGGGATCCAATGTGAGTAACAAACCTGGGAACTTGTTTCTGAATAGACCTGGTTCATTTACATAATGTTCTGACAGTTCCACAGAAAACATACCAAATCCACTACCTCAGATATAGTAAGAACTGCTGATGCTGGAGTCAGAGATAACAGTGTGAAGCTGGAGGAACACAGCAGGTCAGGCAGCAGCAAAGGAGCAGGAAAGCTGATGTTTTGGGTCGGGACCCTTCTTCAGCTCCTCTGATGCTGCCTGACGTGCTGCGTTCCTCCAGCTCCACACTGCGTTATCACCAAATCCACTACCTGACTGCCCAGTTGGAGCAGAAATTAGGTCAAAGGCCACAAGAAGGGATTTATGGGATTAGACCTATCTATGTGGGAAGTAGGGGTTTTGCAACATTTGAGGGTGATCGGGGAGAGAGGAAAGTGGGCAAAAGAAAGTCCACAGCATCCTTTTGAAGCCTTGAGGAGTACTCCTGCTCTTCTTGGCTCACAAGAAACCAAGACGTAATTTATTTCAAATTTATCTTCCGAGTCTGTTTTGACTCAGGAACTTCCTCCTGTTAGGTCCGGCCTCTGTGGAGAAGCCATTACACCCCATCTCCTCCAATTCCTTCCCCACCCACCAAGCCGGTGCCAATTTCCTGGTTCGAAAATGTATTTGGATGCTTTATGGAGTGACTGTGATTGTATTAACATGCTCAGCATTCACTCGGCAGTTATCCAGAAGGAAGGAAAAGGAAGCAAACCGTATGTGTTCACGATCCACTCCCAACAAATGTCCCACCCAGTGCAGATGTTGGACGTGGCTGCAGATGGTCAGGAGGATCTGAATGACTGGGCCGCAAAGATCCGAGAGGCGACACAGAATGCAGATGCCAGAGTAAGTGTGAGATAATAATCATTAGGAGGTGTACGGGCAATTAAACTCTCAAGTGCAGAAAGCAGAAAACAATTGCTTCCATTTTCTTTACGCAATTCTTAAGGAGGTGCATGCAACAAACAAGGCCTAATTGGTGATGGTGACTGCTTTTTTTCCCAGCAGGATGCACTTTTAATGAATTTAACCTGGTTGCTATTTGATTAAGGTTTGATTAAGTGAGTAGCTGATCCAGACCAACTAGGAGCAGTTTACATGCTAAACCTACACTAAGTCCTGTTATTATTCTCCTCAATGAAATACAGACTTATGTATGTCCAAGCCCCTCAATGGCTTTTCTTCTCTCAATCTCTCTAACCTTATCCAGCAGTAGCATCCTCCAAAAGCTGTTGGTGGGGGGGTTGTCCTGCCGGACCCTGAACAAAGTGGGCTACGGCGAGAAATTTGGGAGAATCACATGAGATGTCAAGCGAGGCCCTTCTCATCTCCAAGGCCAACAAATCGTAGACCACAAATTAAGATTTTCGCTAGTGAGCAGCAAGAGGCCTATTTACATGGATTATCGTTGGTTATCACCCTTGTACAATCTAATCTCACCTCATTAATATGTCGTATCCCATTTGCCCATGTACCAGACAAACTAGACATTGAGAATACCCAACATCACAGTCAGAGGACTCACTCCAAGGGCAGTGGACACATGTATCCAGGTCCAGACTCATGCCAGCCTCTTTGCATCGTGGTGGCACCTCTCCATTTCCACACTTCTGTCCTGCTATGCTGCATTTTGAAGTGCACAGGAACCTTTCATTGCAGTTCTGCTGCAAGGACACTTTGTGTGTAGGCACAGGCCCGCAATTTATGGAGTAGATCAGGCTGCACAAGGTCAGGGATCCCAGTTTATGGAGTGGACCAGGCTGTGCAGGGACAGGGCCCCAGTTTAAGGATCAGACCGGGCTGGGCAGGGACAGGGCCCCAGTTTAAGGAGCAGACCGG